TAATGGTTGTCAAGTTCAAATAGATCCTCATATTAAAGCTATTTTATTCTTTAAAATATTAGCCTAAAGTCAATACTTACTCTATTTCACTGTGTCAGGGCGCGTTCCCATTATATCGTGAAGACAGATAGTCGTGGCTTGTATATTTAAATAAAGTTGGTCACACATAGAACAACACGATTAACTGTCGTTCACGACTTTTTTGACGTTACGACGACAGACTGTCGACAATGGTAAGAGCTAGAACGACTGTCGTCAGACGATAAATAAAACGTCACGATAAAAATGTGACACAGCAAATCGCTGCTTCAGACGATTCTGTCGTATAAACGACAAGGCGGCTGCCGTGAACCGATAAATTGTGGTCACGATCTAGTGGGAACAGCCAGACACGACAGTGTCGTGATATGGGTACAGGCTAGGAGCGACAGACGTCTAACGATAAATAAAACGTTACGACATAATGAGAACGCACCCTTAATGTAACTTGTGAGCTTTTTAATGATGTTTCTAATAATATTTGAATAAAAATTTCATGGTATTTACCATAATAAATATTAATAAATTATGAATCTGATATATAAATTTGGGTAAGCATCTCTCATTTTATTATTTAGTTATTACGTAACACACTATTTGTTAAATAAAAATACGTAGTTTAAACATACATACATACATACATGTGTAATAAAAATATTTAAAAACTACGTATTTTTAGTTAATAAACCAGATGCTATATAAATGACGCTAACAATTTTTTTAATCGCCTGTAAAGTTGTCAAAACTGAGATAGTACCGATTGCCAGTTCACAGTCGATATGCTGAGTGGTGCCCATTAAGTATCTATAATGATAATTTTAATTTATTTTTTATTTTATTTGTAAGTACAATTTAAAAATGAATGGTACTGAATAAAATTTTCTTTCGTTCTTTCTTTCTTTCTTTTTTCTTTCATGTAAAAACTAGTCAAAAACTTGCCTTGCGATCATCAGGAGGTACTTTCAAGCCTCCCCACGTACCCAGATACAGTGCGTACAACGGCGACACAACTGACGGCTGCGACCAGTCTACGGAACTGCAAGCGAATATTTATTTTAATTCCAAGTCTTAAAGAACGCAAATGCATTATAATAGGTATTTATGAATAAAAAAAGATCTTTTATGAAATAACTGGCATTCAGCTCTGAGTGGCACTGCAACTGTTATGGACAGGCGCGTGTCGCTTACCACCAGGCGCACGACTTGTTCGTCCTGTCACTTGGTATCATAAATAATCTCAGTACAGAATACTAAAAAAAACCGACCTGAAAAGTTCGTGGAATTAAATCTATAGGCCAAGTTTTATTGAAATCGGTTACCGGAAAGTGCGCAAAACCAGATTCATCCCCTAGTTTGCCACCCACAGAAGGGGAATATTTTCTTCAAATTTAAATGGGACCACTACTGAGGTTCCTCTCTTTTCAACAAAAAAGAATCATCAAAATTGGTTCACTAGAGTTATCGCGTAACATGCATACAAAAAAAGTCGAACTGGGAAACTCCTCCTTTTTTGAAGTCGATTAAAAATATAAACCATGGTAGTAAACATGATAAAATAAATATTACAAGTAGATACAAAAAAATTGTAGAACAAAAATTTATTGTAGTCCATTGACTTACAATTACATGGACGTCGGGTCCGCGCTAAAAAGTGTCCGCACTTGTAAGGCGCTAAAATCGTATACAGAGCGCGACACTCCGCTTTAGTCTTCATTTGTTCTACTGACAGCGCGATACTGCGATGACATTACAATTTAAATTTCGAATAGGTTGACTTGGGACATTTTTTTCGTGGTTTTTGTATTAGACCCGTCGTCCATTTATTTGTAAGTCAATGTTGTAGTCATATCAAAACGAACAATTTAAAATAATTATCTCTTATTAGTAAGAAATGATCCTGTAAAGAGACTCAAATTTTTCGTTATCGCGTAACATACATACAAAAAAAATATTACTCGAATTAAGAACCTCCAGCTTTTTCTTTTAAATCGATTAAAAAAAGTGATTTGTGAACAAATCAATTCTGCAATACAAAATCCATTTTGGCAATTTTAACACAAATAAAAATTAAACATTTTTTTATGACTTTAAAATGTTTTCAGTTACATTTCAAAGTATGTTAATTAAACACCCTAACTCACATGGGACTTGGTTAACAATAGCTTAAACCCTCTTTTTAGTGGAATTTCGCGTCTAGTTGTGATTTGTGAATTACATAAACTGAAATTATTTTTTTTTTTCACCTGGCAACCCTGATAAGGGGGCTGTTGGCGTGGTTGGCAATACTGAATCGGGAGTCAGCGGCAGCGACGATCAGCGGTAACAACACGTCCTTCATATTGAAGATGTCCTTGCTTATGAAGTTAACAATGGACAGTTTCATCTAAAAAAATAAAATACGGTTTTTAGACAGGTTTTCACTTATTAATGTTACATTACGACTATAAAAAAAATTAAATAAATCAGTCTCAATTAAACTAAATTAAAAATGTAAACAAAAACAAAACAAGATTCAGTAACAACAACACATGTTACAGTACCACTATTATGTTAAGCTTAAGGCCTGTTCTGAGATATAGGCGTTATTCGCTGCCGCTGTGAGTAGCGAAATATGAGTCGGTACGCGGTATTCCCACTGTTCACACCACCTAAGCGGATATGCCACTGTGTGTAGCGAAATCCATTATTCATATTTATTATTATTATGTCCACTAATCATCACTAACTGACTTGCAGGGTGTGCGGAGGGATGAATTTGCCACTGACCGTGCATCGTCAAAAATAAATCATGTGGCAACACCTGTTTTGCAAAGAAAGCTCAAAGATACCACCTATCTGGGAGTTATGACGCGGTATTCCTATTTCAACTTCATACAAATACCCAGTGGGCAGCCACGCGCTATTTTTCGCTATCCACAGCTGTAGGGAATAACGTTTATGTCTGAACAGGCCTTAATAGTAAGATGTTGTTTACTTGACGAAAAAGTACACCACCAATAGTGGATTTGACATTTCTAAAACGAATGACAATCGCAATCAGTTTTGTAGAATGTCATATAAATAACTAAAAGTCAAAAAACACTCATCGACGGTGGCAAGCCCTCGCATTTTTCGCCTTAACGTTGCGATCAACAACTCATACTACGAGAAAGACTCAATCATCTTTGATGAATGTGTCTTGAAATTGAACCCTAAAATAATTAGTTTAATTAAATAGCAAATCAACTGAATGGTAATACAAGTATATCATTTTGATTTGGAATTGAAACTACTTTATTCAGATCTAAATTGTTTTCAATCATTAATCTATTGTTCATTAATATATTCCAGATTACATGGTCATAGCTAACAGTTCTATGAAGTGCCGGAAACATTGGTTTGTTTGAAAAAACATATATATGCGATTTAGATCCGAAAATGGAGTTTCATTTAAAATCTATAGCTAAAACCAAAGAACGCGTCACATTATTTTGAAGTTTGATAATCCCCAGTAGTCTGGAATATGACTTAAAAATACCTCTTCCAATTGTTCAGGATTCAGCTGGTTCTTATCGACAAGTCTCTTGTATGTTTTCAAACTCATCCCAGGTGGAACTTGAAATTCGCTCTCACCTGCGATGGGTAGCGCTCTGTAATCAGTTTATTGAGATTACATACATGGCAACAGTCATAAGCTTCATATGTATATATAACGCATGCATGTGGCGAAGTTCTAATTACATTCTTGTATTTTACATTGATGTATTAATAGATATTTCTAATGATTGAAATTGATATTGGGTGAATTTTAAAAAGATATTCAGTATCATAATAAAAAATGTAAGCTATTGATTTATAAACAATTTTCAAGTTCAGTTAATTTGTGAGGAAAATCATAACTTTAGTTGGAATTTTTTGTTGTTATTATTATTTTGTTACACATGTAAGTAGTACACAAACAAACCTGTATGGTAAAAGTAGAACGTCTGTAGCAAATCTCAAAATAAGCATGGCAACTTTAGGTTTTTCTTTCAAGTTCAATTGAGTTTCCTTTATTTCACCAAGTAGAGGCATAAGTAACATGAGGATCCTGGAAAGAATTTTAAAGTTGTTTAAGGAATGAAGATAAAAAATTTTTGTTTATAAGAAAAACAATTCCAAAAATCAAATTTACATAATTCCCAAAAGACTATTACGAAACGAACAACTCAAGGCATAACTGGGAATATCCTAAGTTTATCCCCAAAATCGCTAGACCTACTCAGAATGACCATACCAAATCCCATCTTTACAAAAATCAGTCAATATAGACACCGGTTGCACAGTTGCAGATTCCTTATCGGCATAAATAAAACCCATTCTTCTCCCTTAATCTCGAAATACCTAATAAAGCAATGGTAACAAGCTAGATAAGAAAGTTAAATAGATAAGAAATACTCAACTTACCCATCCTGATGTCCCTGAGGTTTGTTCTCAATGGCCTCAATCAGGGAAGGAGCTAGAGCCAGCTGTTGGTCGCGTGGCAGCCTTGGGAATCCCATTGTTATGTATATTATTGAGAAATTCTAAAAGAACATATTTATTATTAATGCATGTATAGCACAATAGATAACATACACATTTTGTAGCATTAATAACTTATTAATGCTTTTTTGGTCTGCATTATAATGCAGATCAACTACAACTTAGTTGGTTTGCATTGTAATGCTAATGGCAAAACTGCAGTTGATGTTTCTATATCTCAACATAGCATTCACCCACAATTAAACAAGTTAATGTGCCAGTATATGCAGTTGTACAAACTGCATGGAGAGAAATTAAATGACTGCACAGTAATTAATTAATTATATGCAGTTAACTGGTTCTATTCATCCATAAGTTTTCACCCTACCTCATGAAAGAGAAAGGTAATTATCAAATCAAACATCTTACAATAATGAAGCTGTTGGCAGCAGGGTCCTTGTAAAGTTGAAGCAATGGCTGCACTGGCAGCTGTACATTGGAACGGCATTTAACTCGCTTGTTCACATGGACTAACAGTTCCATCACCTTCGTCCGCACCTGGATGAGTGACACCATAAGAACAAGATTCGGGTCATTACTTTATTTTGATTCATATACCATAGTTACAGTTTTTCCATAAAATATTATAAACAGGATGAATACAATAACAAAATATGTACATTTTAGGCAATATTTAAACTAGGGAAGGCACCTAGTAATGAGAACTTTGGTCTCCTATGGATGGTCAATATCATATTTATATGCATAAAACCTAAGTCAGTATTATGACTGCTCTTGCTAAGTAACTAGTATTGAAAATCAGATAACGCAAGTACTTAAATTGTCAATCCTTACACATTGACATGAATATCCTCAAAAAGAGGATTTTAGGTCAAAGTAAGAAATGCTGGCATAATCTGGGTTGGACACTTCACAGTCATCCTCAAAGAGTTTTATAGCCTTCTCCAACATGCATTTATCATGATACTTTACTGTCAAATCAAGCAATACTCAGTACTTTATTGCATTCCCAAAAGTTTACAATGTAGCAGGTGGACACGCTTAAATTAGCTTTAGGGCTCTGTTGGTCACAGCAAAAATACAGAGAGAAGGTATCATTTAACAAATAAAATCTCCAAAAACCTTACAAGAAACAAAATACAATTTGTACAATAGACAATTCTTAAATCTCAAATAATAACTATTCTAATACTATTTTTTTTTAAAGATGAATAAATATACCTAGATTAATAAAAGCAATAATTAGTATACTAAACAGCCTATCAATCAAAGTTGCCACTTGTTTTTGAACATAACCCATAACCTATGCATTGACGGCAAATATTCTCTGAAGTAAGCTCAACGTACTAAAATGCTGCATTTATATTTTAAAGGGATTTTTATACATTGAAATAAAACATTACCTGTTCATGGGTTGAGGACAGCTTAAGAATAACAGGAGGTAGAAATCTAGTGAGACAACTCTCGAGTTGGTCGTCGGAATCCGCGTTACCCAAACGGAGAAACACACGATCCAGAAGCACTGAAATGTTTGATAGGCTAAAGTAAAAAAATAGTTCTCATTTCAACAAATGCCTAGACTTAACTAGGTCTAGAACTAGATTTTGCAATACGTAAACTAATAATTATTATTCACTAAAGAAGGAAAAATGTTACAAAGATTCTTCAAAATGTAAATAGCCGGCCTAACACTAGGTTAACATCTGTCCCGGACAATTGTTCTTTTCAACAAAATAACTCAGGAAACCACTGAACAACTTACGCAAATCATTGGAATAATCATTCCCCCCTTCACTAACATCCATCTCAGACATTTTCAAAGATTTTTGCCCGATTAATTATTGTGGAATAATTCACACGAAGCAGAATGACAGACAAAAATACAAAGCGATTGACAATAAATCGTTTGACGTTTGCATTGTCGTTCCGAAATACTGGAGATGGAGAAACCGGTGTGCCAGTTGAATAACAACTATACATTAGTCACTAATCACTAAACAACATAGTTAGGTATCAAAGCAAGTGAAAATACTGTCCATCAAAATACTCTTTCTAATTTGTGCATTAAAATGAAGTTGGAATTGTTACATAGTTACATCGAGTAATACTCGCATGCATAGTTATATTTTGCTATTTTGTAAGTTTTATAGTAAACCTCTTTGGCACTATCAAAACAGCAAACTTATTAGCCAACATGTTCTCAATAATATATAATTTAAAACCGTGACCATACCGCATTGACTTATGCCATACCGTGACTAAATGCTCGCCATTGAACGGGGAACAACTTCGATAGTGGGCGATAAGATCATTGGGGCGACCACTTTAGATACGGTAACATATGCTCATTACAGATTATTCTTGTCAAAGGAAAAGGTCTAAGCTTAAAGGAAAGGGTCTTCAGACCCGAACAGAGAAAAACAAAATTTGTTTAAAAAGTGATTAGGTTTACTTGAGTTTGAGCTAAAATACCATACAATTTTTTGTTGTGTTATCGTTTTTGTACATAACGCAAAAAAAGAAATAAATCTTAATACAATTAAATTATAAATTCCGAAACAGATGGGATATAACATAATGTATAAAAACAATTACACGCTACTATATTTAACATAACACAGCACTCAATCACTTAATATAACATTGTTGTAAAAAAGTTATAGCTATTATTATAAATCTACAAAAATTTAATCTATGTTTTATTTGAATTAAATTCATTCAGATAGTATAATTACATCAAGACTGCTGATGCGTTGTTAGGTATAAATTATATTAAAAATACTTAAAAGGAATGTCTTCCAATTGTCTTCAAATACATACAATTTTAAAAAGAAACAAACAATACCACACTTAAAAATACTTTATCTATAAATAGTATCAAAGAATAATCGTAAATTGTTGTACAAAATCATGGAATAAGTGTTTGCAATTAAGTAATATCATGTAAAATCATTGCTCATTTAATAGCCAAAACGTCATTAAAAAATATTGTTAAATTAAAAAAATACTTTTGCGACTTTGGAAAACATTTTTCCTACTGTTCTAGTTTAGGTCTGTTTGGTATAAAGACAAAAGAGAACAGTCAGAACAATTTAAACATTATTAGACAAAAAAGGTACTTCCGTGTTGTAATAACAGATTATTACGGCAATGTTTGGTTTTCTTTCGTTTATTTTTAATTCGTTGTGCCGTGAAAATAATCACGACCCTCAGTATTGAGAATTTAGTGAACCACTGAATACCCTCAGTATTGAGGGAATTTAGTGAATTACTGAATGAGCATAATCAAGATTATTTAGAAACTCAATGAGTAGGATCAAGATTATTTGGGAACTGAGTGAGCAACTGAATGAGCAGGAATAAGATTACATTAAAAAAAATGCAAGAACTACCTTATTATATACGACGTTCTCTGTGACCATGCCAAGCAAATTAAATGAATTAAAATGAACACACCAGTCTAATTCTACCCTACATTTGAAATTATCTAAATTAATACGTGGCCTCAACTAACGTCAATACTTGCTTAAGATCATCTCAATCTAGAATTGGCAGTGACGTATTCGCATGGAGGGAGTGACGGCCCACAGGCGACCAGAGCTGTGACTGTGTTTAGGAAATCGGTGATCGGTGAATGCAAAATTGTCCCATTCTTTTTTAATTTTTTCTGACCCAATTATCAAAGTATTTAAGATTTGCTTCACTCGCTTGTACGCAGAAATCGGAATAGGCAATATATAGATATCTAAATTTCAAACTAGTAACACAACTATAATGAATACCTCCCAAAATGAAATCCATCATATTTATGACAAGAAGTTTAGGTAATAAGATTAGGTACTTTGCCAATTTCGATTTCTGCTTATGCCACGTTACGAGGAACTACCTTCTATTGTAATTTTTTTTATTTCATGCAATCTCCGATTTGGCTTGGGATATTGGGCCCACTCCACTAAAAAATCAATGCTAAGTATGTGGTACAAAATAGGCTGCTACTAGACGGACTGCGTGCGCAAGTTGACACAAGTTTACACAAGTCTACACTGATTTCAAGCAGTTATCGTCGCGCTCCAATTACAGGATCTCAGTGTATTTTTTGATGTCAAAATGGAGTGTTACTTGTAGTTTATCAATAATTTCAGAATATTTATAATTCCAAATGCTGACTTTATTTTTTATTAAGGAAATAAACATCACTATCGAAAAACTCAATTTTAATTTGTCAATAAATTCACGTCAGTACTCCCCGACTGTACTCTACTGTGGAATTTGCTACCAAAAATGCAAATAAGGTGCCTTTACAATAAAAAAATATTTGAAGAATTGTATAAATTATATAAATTCGTTGTGTTCACCAATCGTGTTTTTGTTTTACCATTGACTTGATTAAACCCTCAACTAATCGTTACCTTTGTGACGATGCGACCTCTTTCATCGTCATCCCACCTTTTGCCGTTACTACTAGACCAAATTGTTAGACACAATAAATTCATATTTTAAGAATGTGAACCGCTACTTTTGATTCTGGCACTGTTGTATATACGTTGATTGCAGTCGACACTTGCAGGTGAAGTCTCGACTGCACGCAGTTGAAGATTCGATTGTATACAGTTGATCACGACTGCACGCATTAACTGCAGACGCGCAGTCCATCTGTTGGCAGCCATATAGTTTAGAAATGTGTGTGACAAACTTAAACATTACAAATTGCTCTAAAATCAGTTTTTGTGGTTTGTGACTAACAATGTTCAGCATATATTTCTTCTGATGTTATTTACCTTTCAAAACATGGTACCAAATTAAAACAAAAATAAAATGTAAGCGAAATCTAAACATGGTAGGCATTTATAAATTTTAAAGACAGCGGAGATACACTCTGACGGGTTCTAGTTTGCTTAATTACAAATCATAGAAATGTGTCCATTGTGAATATTTTGTAAAATAATTGGTTTTGATAAATAAAGGTTTTACAGACTGATAATGTCAAAGCATTTTAGGTTTAGTGACTAATACGATCGCTATGTAAATAAGTGATTTTTTTTCGTTTGCACAATTTGTCAGTAACCTCCCTACAACTTCAATAAACCTTACCACGTTGAGATGTAGTCATATTAGAAATGTCAGTACTCATAATGGAGCTAATAGACCTATTCTATTCCATGTGCGAAGATCATCACCAGTCCGGGTTCGACCATCATGTGTTCGTCGACGTGCGTGTTGTCGCAGTGGAGGACGAGAACCGCTTGTTTGCCTGGCACTCTCTTGCATACGTATTTCTCATATAATCTACAGTGAAAGAAAGAATGAATGCAGTTAGATAACGTCATAAATTAAACGGTGACAGGTAATGCGAGTACCGAATACTGTTTTTAGTAAACAGTATTAAGCTTGTATACTGATTTTACGGTAGTGTATACCGTTTGTATCGCTCAAAGTAGTCACGAAAAAGCCTTTTAAACTAATTTGAGCAAATGTGTAGTGGCGCGGTGATGCGCGATACTTAAATTACTATATAATAATGGTATACTTATTGATGGCAACGCGAACTTTGCATAACAAAAGACATAGAGGCTAATAGTATAAAACATTACTTGCAACCTTCTATTATTTTGTCTAGTTTCAAGTGAAGACAGTCCCGGAGGCCATCTTCTCTCGTGGCAGTTTTCCATTAAATCATCGATTATATGCGGCGGGCAGCCCGATTCTGATAAGCTTCGCTTAATCATCATCTGTGGAAAATGCTATTATTAGTTCGGCTTTCATAATGAATGGCTAATAGATCTCAAATTTTCCAATTTAAAAATAATTAATAAATAATTCCTTAGCACCTTTTTAGTTCTCAATAAACTAAAAAGATTGTGGAATTACGTCTATTTGCCAAGTTTTATTGAAATCGGTTACTGTAAAGTGAGCGAAACCGGATTCGTCCCCTAGTTTCTCCACCCTTAAAGGAGGAATATTTTTTTCAAATCTAAATGGGACCACTACCGAGGTATCCTCTTTCCAACAAAAAAAGAATAATCAAAATCGGTTCACAAATTTTTTTTAGGAGTTAGCGAGTAATATATATATATATATAAAAACATAGTCGAATTGCGAACATCCTCCTTTTCTTGAAATCGGTTAAAAATGTCACTATAACATAATTATAATAATAACAATAGTAATTGTATAACTTCAAAATTGCGTGTTTCATCATCACCATGGCCATTTTACCCGAAAGATGTCGTTGTTGGACATAGACCTCCCCTAAAGAACGCCACAGCGGTGATCACCGCGAACAGCGGATTCCCAGAGTCATCAGTCACCTTGAAGGTGGTCTGCTCACGCTGCGTCTTCCAATACGTGGTCGCCACTTGAGAACTCTTTACACCAGCGACTATCTGTTCTCCAACTCTCCGACTGCCACTTAAGTTTAGCAATTGTTTTGAACATGTCGGTTACTTTGATTCTTTTTCATGTGTGGGCGTGTAAACCCCGGAAACGAAAAAGAAGCAAAGTTTTTCAAATAGTTTCGGACGGATGTCAGATCCGTCTTTTAATTTGGTCGAATATTTGATAGTAATTTTTCCGGGCAAATATCGGATGAAGAACGAGAGTACAGGACCAGATTCGATCTCCAAGGACATTTCGTGCAAAGGCCTCACCTTATGAGTAACCTTCAGCCTACTTATGATACGTGTTTAATTATTTTAGTTATTCTACAATAACAGTTTTCACTATTCGTTATTTAAAATCGGTCGTACTTGTAAAACGTCGTCGGGTGTGGAGATCATACCGCCCCAGCGCGTAACGCGCGCTCTGGACAGCGAGTTGGCCCAGCGCACTACTTCTTCTCTCTCCATCTGATCAGCTAACGCTCGCATTGTGGGATTCGATAATCGCATAGCGCGCATAAATTCCTGCAAATGATTTCAAATACATGTAAGTAAGGAATTGCCAGACGATTATATTAGACGAATGAGGCAATTTACAATGCTTTTTGATTTTTTACACAGCTCTTTGTTGGTACATAATATATTTAAAAGCTTCAAATAGCGAAGATAAATGGATTTTGTAAAACAAATACATATCACTATTGCAATGGATTGTTATATTGTCTTTTATAATCTAAATTGTGTTTTGTGATTGTGACCTCATTTTGATAGAATCGTAATTCACGTAATATAACTAATATAGTAATGCTCACTATGTATACAATGTGTTGATTTGCATTCTCGCCATATTTACAGAGATCCCAAACCCTGAGAAGAGAACCCAAATCACTAAAAAATTAATCGAAAAAACAATTCCCAAATTCTTATTTTTTATTTAATTGATAACCATGCTTGATCCAAAGGTCCATTGACTTGCGCTACACGTGTCACAGGTACCGGCAACCATTTGCACGATGACCTATGCGCAGAAAATATGCATTTTAGATCTATTTGGTGGTAGAGTAGGGACGGGAGGAGTACCGAATCGAGCGCGTGATTGGTAGATCATCAGTCAACCTTGCGTAATCGCGTATACGTTCTAGTTTCTCACGAAATGTCACGTGGTTTGGTATGTAAACAAGAGTTAGTGCAAAAAAAACCGCTACCAGATTCACCAGACCCTGCGGTACTATTAAGTGCGTTCTTATGGCATGATGTGTGACAAGTTGAACTGGAACAAACACCTGGACAACAAAATTAAAAAAGCTACTATCACCTTCTGGCAATGCCGTAGAATGGTAGGTAAACAATGGGGACTTTCACCCAAGATAACACTATGGCTTTACACAACAGTGGTAAGACCTATGATTAGTTACGGCGCGATAGCCTGGTGGCCACGAACCAAGCTGACGACTGCAACTAACAAGCTGGACAAATTCCAAAGGCTAGCATGCATGGCGACGACCGGCTGCATGAGGACAACTCCAACTGCGGCGCTCGAAGCGATGCTGGACCTGCGACCCCTCCCACTGTTTATCAGACAGGAAGCGGCGTCAACAGCAGTGCGACTAAAGAGAGCCGGCCTTTGGAAACACATGAGGACCCCACATACAGATATCCTTTACAAGATAGTCAAAGAGGAACCGCTACTGGAGGCGACTGTGGATAGGATCCCAAAACAATACATTTTTGACAAAAAATACAGGATATAATTGTTTGAAGATCCCAACGAAGGACTAAACCTCAGAGAGGTCCGCGTATTCACTGACGGATCAAAAACGAACTCAGGAACAGGTACTGGGGTATTCTCAGAAGACCTCAATATCAGAATATCAACACCGCTTGGTGACCACAACACAGTATTGACATTAACTCAGGGCTTATATATGAATACTCATGAAGTACTCATGGAGGTATGTACACACAACCACGTAACTCTACAGTGGATTAAAGGACACAGCGGCTCACGTGGCAACGAAGCAGCAGACGAACTAGCTAGAAAAGGGTCGGAGACGGATGCTATAGGGCCGGAACCCATAGTGTCCCTCCCCTACCAATGGTCAAGAACAACTATACTCAAAGGTACAAAATCTTCTCATAATAACATATGGACAACCCTTGCGGTTTGTAGACAGGCTAGGGAAGCACTCCCAACGCTCAACGCCAGTCTATCTCGTAAATTAATCAAACTTGAAAGACAAGAGCTGCGCACTCTATCTGCCGCTCTAACGGGTCATGGTCCATACAATAAACACCTTTTCAATTTAGGTATCACGGACAGCCAACTACAGGGCAAAGTACCTTGGAGTGCCAAGGTCCCTCCCCGAAGTCTTCAGAAAACCGAAGAGGCTGCTGAGATTCCTGGAGGAGCTTGGGTGGCACGAGTAGGACCCTGCACCCACCACTCGCAAAATAGGCGCCTCGACGTCGAGTTGCGGAAACTAACCCGTTGCACCAATACCAAAAAAATTGCATGATGTGAAACGTTTAGTTTACGCAGATTACAAGTGTCGAAGAATTGCGCGCAAAAATCGTCTCTGGTTTCTTTCTGCTTTGTCTGTTGTGAGGAATGTGCTAAGTTGAAATGAAACTCTGTATATCGGTGCCAGCCACCAGCTTTGGAGCCAGCCACCAGCTTTGGAGCGAGGTACTTCTAGCAATACTTTCATGTAACCTAAAGTTGGCAAGTACCAAACCTAAGTTACAAAAATTTTTTTCAGTCAACTTTTGTAACTAATGTAAATAATTAGTAAATTATAACAATACTAGTACGTAAACATAATTTAAAAAATAGGTAAATTACCGATTGAGAAAGATTACGTATCGCTCGGTGAAGCGAGTGGCGTGGTCACTGTCCTCCGCGGTGAATACACTTGGCGACAATTTTATAAAACTTTACTAGATACAATTAGCCAGAATATTGAACAGAATATGTTTTTTATACGTTTATATGATTTAGCATTATTTCTATTATTAATTTCTTAATATGGCGAGAATGCAAATCAACACACTGTATGTACCTTCAAGCGTAAGTGTAGCTTAGAATATCAAAGAAACAGAAGAACAACCTCTGTAAAGCTGCTGGAGTGTACTCTTCACCAAGAAGTTATTTCTACTTGCGGTGTTTTGTTATAATTTGTTAAGTTACTAACCTACGAATTTATTTGCTTTGAGGTTGAAGTTCAGTAATCATAACCTAAGTTCTAATAAGTTATCCCCCGAGTGGGTTGGGGAGCTAGACTGGACCGAGGAGGAGGGCGTACCGCGCGGGCTCATCTTGGTCTAGGCCGAGCGGGTCCGCGCGGACGCATGCGGTGAGGAGGGCCGCGGGGGAAGAGACGTGTCGGTGTGTCGTAGCCGCTCGTCCTGTTTCCGCGGCCGAATTTGGGCGATTGGCTCGTGCGGTGGGTGCTCCAAAGGACTCTCTACGGAGAGTTCACGTGAATGCGCGTAGGGTGTTGCAGCGGAGCCTACCAACAGATCCGCCGCGGGGGCTAGGGGAGCATCCTCTGAACTTCACAGTTGAGGGGATGTTGTCCTGGCCCCATGGCCCCTGGTTAGCGGACTCGGGAGAGTTCGCTGCCCAATATAGAATCGAAGCGCCTAGCGCCCACTGCAAAGGTGAGGTATAATTCGAAGGTCGAACATTCAAAATGTCGTCCCAGGGTGAATATACACTTAACACTTGAGTACACATATATTATATTTGCGAAATTGCGCTAAACGAAGATCTTTTAGATTCAGTTTAATTGTTATTACAATACTTATCTCGCTTCTTCCTGTCACTGCAATCAGTACGTGTCTGGTCAAGGGTTTAATCGCACAAGTACAAAGAAATTGATATTGATTTCAACATCGTCACGTATGTTTAGTTAAAACGTTCAAACGCAGCCACGTCCTACAGTAACTCGCCTTCACCTCGACTGTGCCTTAAATCTAGCATATGAGCGCAACCCTCTTTATTTTAACGCAAACGCGCCTGTGACTGTAAGCAATCTCGACTATAAACGTGTGAACGATACATCTAAGGGTGAGGGTAAGGATACGCTTTCGCCAGATCTGTACGCACCCTAAGGATGCGCGCGTTGCAAACGTGCTACATACATCTTTATACAATACATCTTTATATTAATAATTATAACAAACTAGTGGAGTAATTTCACAAAAAAATAATTGGATATCATGGTAGTAAAACATCGTGATAGTCAATAATACAATTAAATACATGTTAATATATACGGCGCGCGAACGGCGCGTGGGAACGGCACGCATACAGATTGCACAACGTAATGCACGAATGCAGCTCACGAGTCTTTCGCGAACAGGCGTATTCGCTAGATCTGTACGCACCCTAAGAGCTTGTTATCATGTATGCGGAGATATACTCCATCATGAATATGTAAATTTTAAATTACAAAATTTTCAAAAAGACAGCAGCTAATAGTACAAATAACAGATTACCTTGAGCAAAGCCATTTCCCTTTTATGTTCGTTGATAATCAGCCTCTGTTCGGCAAGCTCTTGTTGGTACTCGGTGAGCTTGCCCTGCTGAGTGGCTATCAGTGCCCGGAGCTCGCGCACGCAGTTGTGCTCCGCCAACTCATCTTTTGGGATCACCAAGCCGCACCCCGCTTCGCAGGGCATCGGCCGCTTGGGGTTGAATTCACCTACAAATTGTAGTTCATGTATTTACTGTCGACAGATGTACTGTATAATACGAAACTTTATTACATTATTATATTATTTGTTAAGGACCATTGCGAAATAGTGTTGTTGCTGATGACACATCCTTGATTTTTAAAACAGACAGACATGACATTAACTATGACCATATTAATGATACCCTCTCTAAGGAAGTTTATTGGTTTAATGCTAACAATTTATTGCTTATTGCCAAGAAGGCAAAATGTGTTAAATTTGAATTACCTAACGTAAAATCGACTAGTCCAAGCATAGAAATAAACGTAGAAAAGTTAGACTTTGTTAATAAAGCAGTCTTCTTGGGAGTGACCTTAGATAGTAAACTTCAATGGTTTCCACATATATCTCCCCTGGCCAGCAGATTAAGCTCCGCTGCATACGCAGTCCGCAGAATACGTGAGCTTACCGATGTTAGTACTGCTAGACTAGTTTACTTTAGTTACTTCCATAGTATAATGTCCTACGGGATTCTCATGTGGGGTAAAGCGGCAGATATTCAAATCATATTTGTATTGCAAAAACGAGCGATTCGTTCTGTGTACCGTCTAGGCTCTCGGGTTTCTCTCAGAGAAAAGTTTAAGGAGACTGGTATCATGACTGTGGCATCACAGTACATTTACTCAAATATTTTATATGCCCGTAAAAATATATATTATTTCAATAAGAAAGAAGATATCCATAATA